TTCTGGTGGTTCCCTCTCTGCGAGAAGCCAAGTTACAGGGAACCAGGCAGAGGGCCTTCTTGGTAGTGGCACCCGCCCTGTGGAACACCCTCCCACCAGATGTCAAAGAGAAAAGCAACTTCCACACTTTTAGAAGACATCTGAAGGCAGCCCTGTTTAGGGAAGCTTTTAATGTTTAATGCATTACTGTATTTTAATATTTTGTTGGAAGCCTTCCAGAGTGGCTGGGGAAGCCCAGCCAGATGGGCGGGGTATAAATAATAAATAATAACAATTATTATTAATATTATAATTATATCAGCAGCCAGCTTTTCAGCTGTTGCTGGCTCCAAAAGCACCTTACAGTTAAAATCCATACAGAGGTACAATGTGTTATATTGTGCTGGGAGCTGCCCAGGTTGGCTGGGGCCACCCAGACAGATGGGTGGCCTATACATAATAAAATTATTATTATTATTATTGATTAAGTATACACCTCAAGTTCCAAAATCCAGGTTTGCTTCCGATGTTCTCTGGAAGCTATATAATGAAGGCGCTGGACACACCTCTGTGGGGAGGGAGTTCCCCAGTTTTGGGGGCCACCACAGAGAATGCTCTCTCCTGCGCAATGGGACAACCAAGATGGCACCCTCTGCAGTTCTGTATGTTATTTGCACTAATAAATGCATTCTTATACATGTTTCACATCAGTCCACATTTATTGGCTGGAGAGGTGCGTTGCAAAATTCAGAAAAGTACAAATTTTGAAGGGCGGCTAGCTACGCTTCAGCTAATGTATTGATTTGGAAAGCGTGTATGAGGAAAATACGAACTGCACCAAATTTCTCTCCGATTCCCAATTCTGTGATATTAAAAAGCACCAGGGGCTGCAGTTTCCAGGAGCACTTCTTTCCTGTTGCTGCTCCTCCTGGCGCCTGCCTCTCTGTCTCCTCCTTGAGCGATTCACATTAGTATTCCAAACCATTAAACATGGGCGCAGGCACACGGAGGTGGGCAAACCTTTGCTCATCCTGATTTGCGTTTTCTCCAGACATTCTGACAATTGTTTTTTTATGCACTGTGTAAACCAAAGTAAATGTGTGGGAAAGGCTAAGTGCCTTTAGTAGCTCTGAATATTTCAGGTGCTTCATCTCTCCTCGCGCAACGGTCCATAACAGCCTTTTAAGAGCTCCATTCAAGGGCGTGTATTGGAAGCTCTCCTGGATGGGAAGAGCACTTTAAAACACTTTCACAGGCTATCATGTAAATCCTTCCGAATTCACGCTTTATTGACCATAATGGTTCTATATAAATATTTTGTCCCTCTGCATCTTGTGTGGGCACTGAGCCATCTGCTGCAAACTCTTTCTAATAAACATTTCATACGTCTGTTATTTCTGGTTTACGGGTGGGAAAGGCGGGAGGGGGGAGAGGCAAGTCTAACTGAAGCGCTTTTCACAGCTCTGCGCCATTCCGCCAGCTGGTGTTAAAAACAGAGGTTCTCAAACCTATCAGGTTGACGTAGGCCGCACACACACCTTTAGAGCACATTCAAAGAACATTCTCTCCCTCAGAGAATTCTGGGAACTGTAGTTTGCTCCTCACAGAGTTACAATTCCCGGTAACCCTTAACAAACTATAGTGCCCAGAAGTCTCTGAGGGGGAAAATGGGCACCCAGCAGTATATAGTATTTATGCATTAGCACTGGTCAATACAGTCGTACCTTGGAAGTCAAACGGAATCCATTCCAGAAGTCCGCTGGACTTCCAAAACATTTGGAAACCAAGGCACTGCTTCTGATTGGCTGCAGGAAGCTCCTGCAGCCAATTGGGAGCCATGGAAGCTGCACCAGACGTTCGGTTCCAAAGAACGTTCGCAAACTAGAACACTCACTTCCAGGTTTGCTGCGTTTGGGAGCCAAAACGTTTGACTCGCAAGGTGTTCAGGATCCAAGGTACAACTGTATATGGTTTTCAACACTGTGGTATATCACCAGCTAGACATCACGATGTACCAATATATCACAACGTCTGAAATAAGGATGGAGCTATCAGAAGGTCGGCAGTTCGAATCCCCGCGAGGGGGTGAGCTCCCGTTGCTCGGTCCCTGCTCTTGCCAACCTAGCAGTTCGAAAGCACATCAAAGTGCAAGTAGATAAATAGGTACCACTCCAGCGGGAAGGTAAACGGCGTTTCCGTGCACTGCTCTGGTTCGCCAGAAGCGGCTTAGTCATGCTGGCCACATGACCCGGAAGCTGTACGCCGGCTCCCTCGGCCAATAAAGCGAGATGAGCGCCGCAACCCCAGAGTCGGTCACGACGGGACCTAATGGTCAGGGGTCCCTTTACCTTTATGTAGAGGCACTGGCTGGCTTCACTTTTTAACCTGCATCGTGAGTTTTGCCGGCACCTGCTCTTGTGATTCACTGCCCCCTGCATGAGGCAAATGGGAGCTGAGCCAGCAGAGTTAACAGGGGCTGCAGGAATCAAGAGAAGCACTGGCTGACTTCACAGTTTCCCTCACATTGTGATTTTTGCATAGCACACACATCCCATGATTCACAATATATTGTCAGGTTAAAAATTATGAAGCCGATATCACAATATGGATTTCAAACCGGTTTCTGCAGCCCTATTTCGTGCTGTCCTTGAATCATGGAGATCAAAATGGCCTACTTGGTGATCTCAGGTGTTTTCTCATTCGGGCCGTGAATATTTTCTAAGCTTTCTAAGCAAGATGGCTGCCTGATGTGACCACAGACCACATCCAGGACGGGTCCAGATCTGACCTACCATCTGCAGACCACTTTTGAGAGGTGAGCAGGGCCCTCCCCAAGGAAAGGGCCATGGCTCAGTGGGAGCGTATGCTTTTCATACAAAATATCCCAGGTTCAATCCCGAATATCTCCAGAGAAGACTCGGAGAAACTCCCCGTCTGAAACCCTGGAGACCTCCTGCCAGTCAGTGCAAGTGAGCTAGATGGACCAATGGTCTGACTCTGTATAAGGCAGCTTCCTGTGTTCCTAAACCTTAAGGAACATAAGAAGCTGCTTTATTCTGAATCATATCATTGGTTCGTTCAATTACAGTATTGTCTACGATGGCTGGTAGCATCTTAAAAAGCAGAGACATCACCTTGCCAACAAAGGTCCGTATAGTTAAAGCTATGGTTTTCCCACTAGTGATGTATGGAAGTGAGAGCTGGACCATAAAGAAAGCTGATCGCCGAGGAATTGATGCTTTTGAATTACAGTGCTGGAGGAGACTCTTGAGAGTCCCATGGACTGCAAGAAGATCAAACCTATCTGAAGGAAATCAGCCCTGAGTGCTCACTGGAAGGACAGATCCTGAAGCTGAGGCTCCAATACTTTGGCCACCTCATGAGAAGAGAAGACTCCCTGGAAAAGACCCTGATGTTGGGAAAGATGGAGGGCACAAGGAGAAGGAGGCAACAGAGGACGAGATGGTTGGTCAGTGTTCTTGAAGCTACCAGCATGAGTTTGACCAAACTGCGGGAGGCAGTGGAAGACAGGAGTGCCTGGCGTGCTCTGGTCCATGGGGTCATGGAGAGTTGGACACGACTAAACGACTAAACAACAACAACTACAATGGCTGGTTGTGGCTCTCCAGGGTTCTAGATTGGCGGATGGGGGGGGACACTCTCAGTCCGATATGGAAGTGCTGGGGACTCAACCTGGGTCTTCCTGTGTACAAAGCTCATGCTCTACCACTGAGCTACAACCAAACATAATGTGTTGTTGCTAGGAAAACACAATTCTCCCCACCCCAATAAAAGAACAGCACAACGGGCTGCAACAGCTCCGTCAGATCACTTTCAACTCCCTGGAAAAAAAACAAACAAAAACCTCACAATGCTTGATTACTCAGTGCCAGAATAAACACAACCAAGTGCGTTGGGTTCATATATTGTTTTTGCTTTGCAAACTGAGTGGTAAAACTGCAGCCATGAATAAGTTGTCTGTACTAAGGTTCTTTTGTAAAAAATAATAATAATTCTAGTGCCATGGAAGCAGATGGCCTAATAAATATTCAGGGCTATTAAAAACAAACTACATATGCAAGATCAGAAGGAGACCCATTCTTCCACGCTCTTGTCTTTCTCTCTGTCATTCAAGCAAAATGTGACTGTCCTTGTTTTGTGTGCGAAAAAGTAATACAGTGGTACCTTGGGTTAAGTACTTAATTCGTTCCGGAGGTCCGTTCTTAACCTGAAACTGTTCTTAACCTGACGTGCCACTTTAGCTAATGGGGCCTCCTGCTGCCGCCGGAGCACGATTTCTGTTCTCATCCTGAAGCAAAGTTCTTAACCCGAGGTACTATTTCTGGGTTAGTGGAGTCTTTAACCTGAAGCGTATGTAACCCAAGGTACCACTGCAGTTGCATATCTAACTAAAGACTAATTTCCAAGTTGCTTTCAAAACGGGAAGCTCACCATGAAGTGAATGTCTTGCAAGGGTTGGGGATGTTTAATTTGAACGAGGCCTCGTGTTAGAAATTCATAGAACTATTGTAGTGTTGTGGTATCTTTCCGCATTCTGGGCAAATCAATATGCATCAGATTGCAAGGCTGGGTGTGCACTTCTGATCTGTAGAGTTCAGACATGGACCCTTCAACCCCAACAAACCAGAGAGGAGAGGATTGCAATGGATTCTGTGCAATTTGTATATCTCTCTTCTGGTAGTGAGGCTTAAGAGCGTACCAGGAGTGATGCTATCTGAAGCCCCATATTCTCAGTAGTTTGCTCTCGTGTCTGCTGGTCTCTACAGAAGCTATGAGCCAGCCTCAGCCTTGTTACCTCTGCCCCACATGTCCAAACAGGGCGATGTTCCAGAAGTGTTGTGCTTGCCTAGGTAAGATTGCTTTTGCCTGGCTGCAATGTGTCTTTGAACTCTGATAATGCCTGTTGCTCCCCTGGGTAAAGAAGGGTGTGTGAGCCTGTGTGTAGAAACTAGACTACGGTACAAAGGGCAGAAATTGCATTTGTTGCTCTGCCAACTTTTGCCTCTGGCCCCCACCCACCATGGTAGAGCAGGAGATTCATAATCTCAAGGTTGTGGGTTCAATCCCCACCTTAGGCAAAATATTCCTGCATTTCAGGGGACTGGACTAGATGAGCCTTGTGGTCCCTTCCAATTCTACAATTCTATGATACTTATGTATTCTGCTCTGTTTTGCAGAAACTTGAGCCTGCGAAAACTCTGGGTGCTCAGAAGAGTTCATGCCACTTTCTGGTTTCTTTGCTATGCTTGATATGTTTAGACCTGCTAGAAAGCTAGGAGGAGGGTGCCAGAAACATCTCAGCTCCTGCAATTCACGCCGCTAACAAGCAGGTTAAACTGGCGACGAGAAACCACAGGCATTTTAGCACTTTCACTAGCTGGGGAGTCTGGATGCAAAAGCTCCCACTTTGTGAGGGGTCCCGATTTGAAATAGCTTTTTTTAGCACTAACGAAAAGTTGGCTGTTGGAAGATGCTGTTTCTGTGAAATACCGGGGGGGGGGGGGAGTGGAAATTAGCAATTGGGGGGGGGGGAAGAGACCTTTATCTTTTAAAAGTACAATGTCCTGTTTGGATTGTTTTGCTTTAAAGCCTGTTATAAAACAAATCAGAAGAGGAAAAGATTTCTCCTTCCCCTGGCGTTTTGCTTGAACTGTGAAAATCACAGGTCAAGAAAAGCTTGTAAACATCATGGAAGTATATGTATAATAGGCTCAGAAAACAATAGGGAATGATAACAAAGAACTCGGTGTGTTAGGTCTTAAGAATCTTGCCACCTTAAATCAATCGAATGAGTTGGCGGTCTTGAATCCTGCTGTTTTAACATTGGGGGTAGGTAGCATCTGTAACTGGTGTGAGCAGAAAGACAAAGCATAATGAAAGGGAAAAACGGAAAGTCCATAAAGAGAGGCCCATTGGCTGAACCTGGAGGTCTCTGGGTGAGGCAGTCAGGACAGTGTGCGGCAGCTGTGACAAAAATGGTGAATGCTAAGAATGTAAACAGAACGACCATAATGTTGTTATACAGATCCATGGTTGCTCCATCTCAAAAAGGATATTGTAAAGATAGGGGGAACGTGGAGGGCAACCCAGACGATCGAGGGGTTTGGCCAAATCTCCCCTGAGAAAAGGTTGCCGCATTTGGAGAGTTTTAGTTTAGTAAAGGAGTAAATGGTGGAGATTAGAGTGATGTATACAATTATGCATAGTATGAGGAAAGTAGAAGAGTTTGGATTTGATATCCTGCTTGCTGTGGGTTAAACTACAGAGCCTAGGACTTGCCGATCCGAAGGTCGGCTGTTTGAATCCTCGTGACAGGGTGAGCTCCCGTTGCTCGGTCCCTGCTCCTGCCAACCTAGCAGTTCGAAAGCACGTCAAAGTGCAAGTAGATAAATAGGTACCGCTCTGGCAGGAAGGTAAACGGCGTTTCCGTGCGCTGCTCTGGTTTGCCAGAAGCGGCTTAGTCATGCTGGCCACATGACCTGGAAGCTGTATGCCGGCTCCCTCAGCCAATAAAGCGAGATGAGCGCCGCAACCCCAGAGTCGGTCATGACTGGACCTAATGGTCAGGGGTCCCTTTACCTTTACGGAGTCTCAAAGCGGCTAACATTCTCCTTTCCCTTCCTCCCCCACAACAAACACTCTGCGAGGTGAGTGAGGCTGAGAGGCTTCAGAGAAGTGTGACTAGCCCAAGGTCACCCAGCAGCTGTATGTGGAGGAGTGGGGAAGCGAACCTGGTTCACCAGATTACGAGTCTACCGCTCTTGACCACTACACCACACTGGCTCTCAGTGATACGGAGAGGTTTTATTCCTCTCATAATACTAGAAATTTGGGGCCATGTGATGTAGCTCAGTTTTGGAAGACTCAGGACAGACACAATTAAATACCACTGTACAGTGCACAGTTAAACTATAGACCATGTGGTGATGTCCACCAACTTGGATAATATTAAATGGGACTAGTCAAATTCATAGTGGATTGAGCTATTGATAGCAACAAATCAATAATAGCTGTCTACCATGTCCGCTGCCAGAGACAGTCTGCCTTTGAATACCAGTTTCTGGGGAACATGAACTGGGAGATGCCGCTGCACTGGGTTCCTGCCTGGAGGCTTTCCATGAGCATCTGGTTGGCCAGATGATTGCACTACATGGACCTTTGGTCTGATGATCCACCAGAGGTCTTCTTCTGTTCTTCTAGCCTATATGGTCCAGCATTTTGTTTGTTTTTCACAGTGCATAGCTAGATGCCTCCAGGAAGCCCACTTGAATAAATGTGAGTTGGAATTGTGAGTTGGCATCAAACACCACTAGTCCATGTTATCAACTGTGAGTATGATTAGAAGTGGCAAGTTACCCAGAGTCCACATATGGCTGGGAGTGGTTATGAAGTTTTGGTTAAAACTTTTTGAGCTTCTGGAAAGGCTTCTCAGGGCCTACAGATGGCTGCAGGGCAAAAGGGTGGTCAAAACTTTTCTTCCATGGACTTCCTTAGGTTAACTTTGCAGGGTCCATCAATTTATGGATTTGCTTTGTTCATTTTATTTATGACAGTCCTATCCACTCATGAAAGCTCTGAAATGTTGCTGCTTTGTCTACGTCTTGTTTTATCATCTGTGATTTGGAATTGCTCAAATATCCACTTTTTGTTATAGATTTTTGAACGGTAGCAAATTTGTGCTGGATTTGCTATTATTACGACAAGACGCTGCACTGGAGTTGGCTTCCATGGTGTTTTTAAGTAACCAAGTTTTGTCTTCCGTTCCAGCCCTTGAGTTTGAACGCTTTGATTTTCGGGAATTGGCTATTTCCCAGTTGTAAGTAGGCTTTGGAAATGGTTCAGTGTCCTTTGGAGAAGAAAATCAAACAAACCACCAAACGTTCTTTGCTGGACACTTCACTGAAGAAGCATTCACTTTCACACACAGGAAGAAAAGAATGCATTTAAAGAGTCCCACTAATTGTTGAGAAATAAAGAATTGTATGATTTTCTCATCTCTAGTCAATGGACTATGGCAGCCTGGTTTGCACATTTCCATCACCATGAGTGAAAACCTCGGTACTGTATGTGCTACATGCCACTCCAGCATGAGGTGCTGAGGAATTTTAATGTGTTATAACAGAGTGTCACAGAATTTTCTTAACTCCACATGATATTGTTGAGCAGAGAGATAGAAAAAGAACCAAGACAGATTAGGCCAACACACCACAAACTAGTTTGGGTGGAGAACAGGAAGTGTATGCTATGACAGAGGTGACTAGTGCTTTATTGCAATGTATGTTCAAGAATGAAGACAACTGGTTCTGTAGATAAAAAAGACACCCCATTAGGTCAATTCAGGTTCTTGGATCCAGTAAAAGTTGAGCTCCATGTGGCTATTGTCATATTAGAGAGTTCTGGACATCAGTTTGCACTTAGTATTGTTCCATCAGCTAGGGCTACTGCATTTCCTTAAGGGCCCCATCCAACAAACTACTCTCTCTAACTTAGATAATACTGCAGTGTGTGCCAAGTTGTTCAAGCAGTATTTGTCAGAATGTGAACCGGCAACTCACACAACCTCTTCTGTATTTTCATTGAGGAATGACTTCCACTTTAAAGCATCTTCTGTGAATAATCCCATAAACAACTAGCTCCCCAAAAGACCTGAGATGGCAAAAACTCTGGCCTTGCTTTGGCAGACCATGCATGTGCCAATGAAAACTAGTCACGTCTACAACTCTTTCGAGGTCATCTGTGCAAATATGGGCAACAGGAGGGCAACAGGGGATTCCCCCAAGTTGTAAAAAGTAATTTGGCAAACAGCTGAGCTTTTGATTTTCTGTCATAATTCCACATGTGGAAGTTTGGACAAAATATGTTAGAAGGCACAGACTCCTGAGACTCCCTAGATTTTTTTTTTAATGCAAGTTTTTAGTCCTCTGCGGAAATGTATCAGAGATGTGTTCATTCCCTGTTCCACCCCTCATTTTGAAGGCAAGCCTGAGCTTGTGCCTCCAATCAAATAACTCTATCCATATACCTTCATACTGATGCCACAGCTTTTAAAGCAACCCTCTGGCATTGCTCAGAACTCTGCCCTCAAAATAAAAATCCTTTTTTAGATGCAGGGGGGTGGGGGTGGAAATGTATTGACCAACATCAGCAAATTCCTAATTGTGAGTGACAAGGAGCTGCGCTGTACCCATATGGCATAAAGCTGGACCATAAAGAAGGCTGTTCGCCGAAGAATTGATGCTTTTGAATTATGGTGCTGGAGGAGACTCTTGAGAGTCCCATGGACTGTAAGAAGATCAAACCGATCCATTTTGAAGGAAATCAGCCCTGAGTGCTCACTGGTAGGACAGATCCTGAAGCTGAGACTCCAAGACTTTGGCCACCTCATGAGAAGAGAAGACTCCCTGGAAAAGACCCTGATGTTGGGAAAGATGGAGGGCACAAGGAGAAGGGGACGACAGAGGACGAGGTGGTTGGACAGTGTTCGCGAAGCTACCAGCATGAGTTTGACCAAACTGCGGGAGGCAGAGGAAGACAGGAGGGCCTGGCGTGCTCTGGTCCATGGGGTCACGAAGAGTCGGACACGCCTAAACGACAACAACAACAAGCTACTTATAATTGGTTCTAGAAATGGTATGCATGTATATCTATGGGGTAACTTCCAGAGGAGTCACTTGCCCGTGACAGGGACTATCCTGTCACCAGGCCAGGCCCACTGATGCTTTTGAGTGGTGGAAGCCCAAGAAGCGATGCCCACCTTGAATCTGTCCAGCCGTCTCTGCCAGCAGTGGTTTCTGGTGAGATATCACTGAAATCTCATGAGATCTCTCATGGAACATGAGGGCGTGTGGCATGAGGGCGGCAGCAGCGGGGAGCAGCTGCATTCCCATTTTGTTCCACGTTGTGAAATGGGACACGTCACCCCTGCCTGTAACCCTCAGTGCAGAGGTCAGCGACCTTTTTCAGCCGTGGGCCGGTCCACCGTCCCTCAGACCATGTGGTGGGCCAGACTATATTTTGAAAAAAAGAAGAACGAATTCCTATGCCCCACAAATAAACCAGAGATGCATTTTAAATAAAA